GCATTTTAATTCTACACTCAGGAGCCTACGACGGGATATATATTTGCTCCCTTAATCCTATATAATGCTGAGCATTCGAGCGGTTGCCGCACCCTTGCGGCGCCAATGCCTGGCCACTGCTCCTCGAGCCTCCGCAACTTTATCTTTCCAGGTGGGCGCTGATTGAGAGCACGAGCCTAGATAGCACCGTCGCTAACTACTCGGTCAATTGCAGAGCCAAAGATTCTACTCGGATAAGGTCGCTAAGTTTACCGGTGTAAAGGCTTCTGATGTATGTGTTTAAGCGCATTTTGCGACATCTCCCATGTGAAATTCAGCCGAGGAAAATCACTCAAAAATAGTACCAACTTGGCGATGCAATTTGCCCAGAAAATTTACTAATTGTCTAAAAACAAATTATAGGGTCGCTACCCCGTCAGTATTATCGAAGGTGACGGCATTGGACCTGAGATTTCCCAAGCCGTCAAGGACATTTTCGAGGCTGCCAAGGTTGGTGGACAAGTTTCACCTCGGCTCGAGATTCTTAATTCTAAAACTTCTTAGACACCTATCAGCTGGGAACCAGTCGACGTCACACCTAAGCTCGTAGACGGAAAGACTACCATCCCTTCCGAGACAATTGAGAGCATCCAAAGAAACAAGGTTGCCCTCAAGGGTCCTCTTGCTGTAAGTCTATAATCGGACATTTCTATATGCCCGCGCGCATTGCTAATTGACTTCATAAGACTCCCGTCGGCAAGGGACACGTCTCGCTTAACTTAACTCTCCGACGAACATTCAACCTCTTTGCTAACCTGCGACCCTGCCGATCCATCGCCGGCTTCAAGACGGCCTACGACAATGTCGATACCGTCCTGATTCGAGAGAACACCGAGGGTGAATACTCCGGCATTGAGCATGTTGTTGTCGATGGCGTCGTCCAGAGCATCAAGCTCATTACCCGCGAAGCTAGCGAGCGCGTCCTACGATTTGCTTTCCAACACGCCGAGGAAATCGGCCGAAAGAAGGTCCGCGTTGTACACAAGGCCACCATCATGAAGATGTCTGATGGTCTTTTCCTCAAGACCGCCCGCGACGTTGCCAAGGACTTCCCCAGTATCGAGTTCGACGCTGAGCTGCTAGACAATACCTGCTTGAAGATGGTTACCGACCCTCTGCCGTACAACGACAAGGTTCTCGTCATGCCCAACCTGTACGGTGATATTCTGTCCGATATGTGCGCCGGTCTAATTGGTGGTCTGGGTCTTACGCCCTCGGGCAACATCGGTGACGAGTGTTCCATCTTCGAGGCCGTGCACGGATCTGCTCCGGATATCGCTGGCAAGGGTCTAGCCAACCCCACCGCCCTGCTTCTTAGCTCCATGATGATGTTGAGACATATGGGCTTGACCGACTGCGCAAACAGAATTGAAAAGGCTACATTCGATACCCTGGCGGAAGGAAAGTCGCTGACTGGCGATTTGGGCGGAAAGGCGAAGACTCACGAGTATGCGGCGGCTATCATTTCCAAGTTGTAGATACCTCATCACGGTCCATCATCCATCCATAGTGGCGTCTGTTAGAGGGAGATATGCGGTTGCTCTGTAGAGTGTACAACAATGGGAACGATTTTGCATGATTCAAGTCGAGTCAGGTCTGAAATCCGGTTAGGCAGGATAAGCATTGTGATGAACTAACTTAGGCCGTTGAACTACTCTTTCCTAATTACTTCAGTCTCGTGGCTTAGATGGAGAGGGTAATACGAATATGATCTACCTAAACATAATTCACTTCCGAGACCATGTTATCGTGCTGAGAAGACACCATACCATCGTGGTACTATCCGTAACCACGTCACTTTCAGCTGTAGATCATATCATAAGAAGCTTAGGTTGACCTGACGTTGAAGCCAAGCATTGCTACTAGTAAGGCTGAGGAGGAATCTTAGATCAGCTTCGTGCCAAGGTGCCTCTCCCGTTATAATTATGGGAATACCAATCAAAAAGACTCAACATAATAACACGAGTCAGCACCGACTGTCTAGTTAACCCATATACAAACTTAAAAAGAACGTTCATTTATATTCGCATACAAGTGGCTTATATAAATGATAGGACCAGTTCCTCACTTATAAGGTAAAAATCCATAAGCTGATGTACATTCAGCTACTCGTTCCGAGATACCACATGATTGTAAGTGCACTAAAAGTCCTGAATCCTATCATGCATAATCCCGAGGTATTTTCTAGGGGAAACATTAGTCAGTACGTCGGATATTGCTTCGGAAGACTACCTAGTTTAAAGAAAAGAGGGTGTGTTGAAGCGTTGGAAGTTTAATACTAGAAAGAAATATAGAGATATACTAGGGGTATATATTAAACTAGATAGCTCGACCAGACGACCGACATTCGATTTAGGGGAGGGTAAGTTGCGACCTTTAGTACGCTGAAGTCTAGGAACGGAGTTTCATTTCTATTGATGCCACTTAGCCGTCGAAGATCGTGTATCACAACTCGGTCAGCTTGCCTCTGATATGATAGTATCTTTAGATATTGCAGGCTGCTGTATCAGCTAAGTATCTACTAGATGAAATAATGGGACCACCTAAACGCCATAATATAAGCTACCAGGACACAATTCGCGCCATACCCTGAATGTTCAAGCCAAGGACATACACGAGAGAATGCTCTATGATAGCCGTATATCACGGACAATACTATGGCAATAGTGGCAAACGATAGTCTCCCTACACACCATCGGATATGTAACCGGGTTTCGGGCATCAAGCCGAGAGAATAGCCCCCCACGCTGAATAACTTCCCGCCAGTCCCCGGGCAGATTCACACGCGAGACAAGATAGCCAACACGGACTGATTATCCCTCAACATATCATCACTCCGCGTTAGATATGTAGGTCAGCCCAACGACCCTGAAGATAAAAAGTGTTAATTGACCTGTAGCAACCCAAATAAGAGCACACAGCGTCGTTCAGCCGGCTCAATGGAAGCATTAGTTGTGCAACGCCTTCTCTCAGCTGTTTGTATGCGGTTAGGAACAGCACCGCCGATACGAAGAGGCGGTAATACGACCTATCGATCGGGCTAGTAAAACTTACAGCCGCCTGCATTCTCGGGTTACGCTCACGGGAAAGGGGCGTGGGCTTAGGCTTATGTTTCCTTTAGGGGCCCGTAGGATTGCTTACGATCGAGGATTGCTACACAACTTGCAAGTCCTCAGGATATGGTCAGATTGCTATTTCTGGGGAAATGCCTCAGTCGTAGGGCAGGGGGCATGGTTATCAGGGATGTTTCCCGGGACAGAGTGTGGGGGGGCTTAAGGAAACCTGGAGATTGAAGCTGTGTAAAGAATACATTTTGTGATAGAAGTGAAAACCGCATTAGCAAGTACTGTTAGGTATCCATCTTATGCCAAGTTAATAAGGTATAGACGTTTGACGACGAGATCGAGTCGGTAATTACAGACCAGAACGTCGGTCTGAGCTGTGATATACGGGGGATCAATCTATGTTGTTTAGCCTCGCCCGACTTCTTGATTGGACGTCGCCATAATAAGGCTGGGGGAAATGTAAGCTCTAAGAGATAATCTGAGACAAACTGGGCGATGGGCGATGGGCGACGGGCAACAGGAAGCTTCACCGACTCTATGTACATGTCTAATTCTCAAGTTACTTCAATAGATACACAAGTTTCGAGTAGGGAGTAGGGAGTAGGTAATCCGTTTCGCGGTAGGTAAATTTTAGGGAAGGCTACGGCGATAGCGCGGGAATAAGATCTTATACAGATACTTAGGTACCTGGCTAGTCCCAGTAAAGTTAAAAGCCGGCTTGCTTGGAGATTTCTCAACCAATCATGGCGTCTCGGCTGAACCGTTTGGGGAAATCGATGACAGGGTTTGCGTGGCACCGAGAAACCAAGACTTTACAAAATCGCCCCAGCCGCAAGCAGAGTGCGCTTCGAAAGTTAGCCGACGCCATACGTTATGTATTTCCATGTATTCCCACCGTACATACATATGTAGGGGAATATCGATCTCTTCTAGAAGGACTTCCAAGCATTCCAAGCATTAGAGTACAATACTATGGAGAGTTTCCAAGGTGGGAGACACTGAAGCTTTCCTGTGCCTGCCAAGCTTTCTTCGCAAACAACTATCGGCGTGTTCAAAGAGATCGAAAAGCAAGATCAGAACGACCCTTCTGCCTTGTATAACCCTTTTCTGACTGAGAGTCGGGTTTGACATGAAACTTTGGTGTGCGATCGACAAAGGATCGTTGAACCGTATCGCAAACCAGTTACATGTATGTATGTAGCAAACTGGACCGGTTTTCTTGTGTACATACATAGTAGTAGGCTCGAGTCCTCTCACATGCTATTAGCAGTAGGCTAGTAAACAAAAGAGGCTTTTTCCGCTTCGTCCAAAGAGAAAGCTAGTAATTGTGATAATCCCGCGCGACCTACGGGTTACGGATTATGGCGGCCCATGCAGATACCGCTTATTCGAGGGGTGGGCATATCTCTACATGTTCTAATTTCCAAAACCTCAAGTCGGCCAATGTACGTACAGGTTACATTATGCATAACCCTCACATATGTCGCGTGACACTTCCGGCAACGCTCATCTTTTTCCATGGCGAGAAGTCATGCACATTAGGAGGTATGTATGTTAGGTATACACATATGTATGGGCCGTGGGCGGTAGGCGGTCTGGGTAGTGTAACTATTTCCGGAGCCGACAAATGACAAACGACGATCATGAATATCCTTGATCTCACTTACAAGGATTTTTCATGATGGCTTTAGAGCTTCCTTATTCTCGCACCCCCCCAGAAAACTTAACACGTAGTGCCGCCGGTACGCCGCAACAAGTGGGCTGCATCTTGGAACAAAATCACTCACCGGCGCCGTTTAGTATTATACCTATTATTACTGGAGACTAATCAACTTCCGGCCTTGCAGTTTAAGGGGTCCAACTATTCCGTACCTAGGTAGCTAAGCACGTATCTAGCAGTTGAAGGCAAACCCGGAATCTCCGGACGTTTCGTGAATAGTATATATAGTCTCCTCTTCGTCTCCTTCACAACCTCCGTCTTTTTCTACCTCGAGTGTTTCTATCAACAACTTCCTCAAGACCAATCTCCACTCTAAAGCCCTCCTTTCCTCACTCTTGATCAGTTCTTCTAAGGCTTCACTAGTCCATCAACGACTACTACTTGAAACACATTCACTTATACAAATATTAAACTTAATAACTCACAATCTCATCCATCACCATGCCTTCGGTAGACATCAAGCAGATCGTTGACACCAAGCCTCTGAGCTTCACCATCAAGACCGGAAGCGGCAGATGGCAATGCCAGATTCATAGCGACAGAGCCTCATAGTGAGTTTGCTACCTCCCGGCCTATCGCAGCTTTTATGTATTACATTAGGTAACGATTAACACGCAAATCTAGCGAGCGCTCGCGCATTACAAAGGCACCGGGAATCTCCCGCATGGATTCCGGCCTATCCACCTCGACGAGGTCGTCGAGTAGTTCGGTCGCGAGCACCTCGTCGCACTAGACTACACAAATGAAATAATTCCCCATCCAGGGGGGAACCCTTGCCATCGCGTTCGCGTTCCGTCTAACGGCCCGGCCTCGCGAGGGTACACAGCGCATGCACAATTGCTAGAATTGGTCAAAGTTCTTATCAGGAATGGGTAATACGAAGATTGGGGGGGGCCACCTGATGCGGTATTATTCTAGATCGGCTAGGGCGGGAGGGAAAAGCTTAGCTTGTCGGTCACATCGGCGCTGTGCTTCCCCCCGGCTGCAATAATGGGTACTATACGTGATATGTCGAGGGCGTGGAAATGCGGGATGGCGCGACTCCGGATCTAATTGGATGGATGAGCGTGTTGGGGGGAGGTATGGGCGTCGAGGCGAATCAGTCTATCGTTGATTCGTGACCAATGCGTGAAGCGGACCCCCAAACATCCTCCCAACAGCAGACGCACGTGGGCAGAAACTGAACTGAACAAAGAAGTAAAACAGATAAAAGACTGAAAAAATTTGATTACTACTGTTCCTATTTTTGACATATTGCTTGCACCTTGTCATTGGACTTCGGTTGTTTGTGATAGGCTATCTCGCCATCGACGAGGACGAATCGGATCTGGCGATTCTACATATTCACACGAAGTAGTTGTATGTCCAAGTTCCGGGTTGACTTCGATTGCCCATCTTAGATTCCTAGATCATCGGCATCGTATCGAACGTCAAGTAAAAGCTATCACCTATACTAATTGGACACAGAGAGCAAGCACATGCCATTGACCCGTCCAACAAGTTCCGGGGCCCAACCATTCGCTCTTTACATTAGGTCCATACCACATAGGGGGGGTATCGGGTAAAGATCCGGAGATGATGCTACGAACGTCATTGAAGCTGCAATAGCTATGTACATGCCTACATAGCATATGCAGGTAGGACCCCGTCGTATCAGACGAGATAAAAACGGCGCACCGTGCTCTGAACGAACGTTTCTTGTGGATAGGGACCCGCGTCAAATTCCTACCCAACTACAACGTTAGGCGATGGTACGCTCATTTAGACGCGCAACGCGACGTCTCACGACAGCACTTCACATCCCATCCCATCTCATACCCCCCTATCTGCATATACATAGTGAGATACAGTGAGAGTGGACCTGAAGGAAAACCCGCCCATTGCCACCATTCCCAGCGATGATACTCACTCCCGTCCGGCTATCAATCTCAAGGATCGTGATGGGCGCCTAGGCCAATGGGTTAAAGGTCGGCGCCGCCGTCGTGCTACGAGGACGTCGTGCTGGCTTCGCAAACTACCACCTCTGCGGTCTCGAGCTGCCAAGGCAAGCTGAGAGGCCTGATATGATCCTGCAGGTGCTCGTCGTGGACATGGCTGCGGCCTCATGCCTGTAATGCTGGGTAGCGCCGGGTTGCCTGTATGGACGTATAACTAGAGATTCTTATCGTCCTAGCTCTCGGTATTTGACGTGATGGTTTCTCGGTCAATCAACTGGCGAGAGGCTCGGACATCTAGGATATGGCCACCACGGCGGCAGTTTGAAGTTTCCTAACATAGAAGATTAAGGGAGCCTTTTATGAGGACTTTTTTCTCTTTAGCCTTGAGCTGGAGACGAAGCCGGCGAGTTCTCTATTATAGGGCATATAGAGCTGCTTTTTTATAGGATGGTTATTCCCTAGGTATGTTCCTACATAAGACATTGTAAGAGAAAGTGCCTGCCATCTTCTAGGACATTACGAAGCACTACGTATTGGCGTCGTAGGGGTAGTTTATCGGGTCCGTAGGAAGGTGTGCGTAGCTTATGTGCTTGTCATATAGGAATATCGATCTAAGGACATAAAAGAATGGTAGATCTGACTCTGAAGTTCTCTGGATTGAGAGCGCGGGTATAGAAGAGAGAGAACATGGACAGCGAGTTGGTAATTCGCTGCTAAAGATCAAGGTATATTTACAGACATTCTGACCGGGTTTAGCCACTTCTGGGCGTCTGTATGGAGATGTCGTTTATGATTAATAGGTCCCACGTATTAATGTAAGATCACTCACTGGCTGGGAAACATATTGTTTCTAGATCATGACACTCTCCTTAATAAGACTTTGATCAATATTGATAGAGTTTAGGAGTTGGCATGTTGGTGATATCTCCAGTCACATTTATCTATAACCGGGGTTCAGCTAATCTTGTTATAGATATCTGTATAACTAGGTGTAAGTTAAAGATGTAATGCTGAAGAGTTTTTTAATACTAATATCGTGTTTGGAGAAACAAATTATATATGGAGAAGAGAATTAACGCCGAAAGTCTTATAAAATAGTGGTACCTTGCATCGATCTTTTTCTGGGCCAGCTTGATTAACGAGGCCGCCAAGATCTCGCTAATGATCAATTAAATTCGGCTGCTATCCGAGCAATCCGAGGCCTCCGCAATGCGAGAGTAACAGGCAAAGTAAAGTTGTCCTCTAACTATCTCATTTCATCATCAACTCTTGTAAGTATGAATGTAATGATTTATTGTGTTGTGTTTATTTGGTGCTTCTAACGGGTATATTGGATTGTTACTAATATTTATGTGCTTATATGGCTGGTACCTATGACAAGTAGTTCAGCCAGGAGTGAGGCTCAAGCTTGCAGGTCAATTACCCCATTAGCCTTTCATATAGATCTGTTTGATTTCAGATTGGTGATACAAACGCACCTTAACAACTAAAAGAGACTATCGTAGATAAATGACCTCATGCAAGGGCCCGAATCTAACAGCCCTAGATTCGTGGCGGCTCTGTGTAATATTGGATGTACATATGAAGATAGAGGATGTGCTTTTGAGAAAGATTACATAGATACATCCTAAGGTACTCTCAATTTAGATAAGCATGTAGGTTAGGTGGTATTATTGTACAATACATTCTCAAGCGGGGCAGGCATTTACCCCACTAAGGTAGGAAAGAGGTACCTACCGCTATCTAAGGGAAGAATGATTTAATGCTTAGGTAGGTTCAACTACATGTATGGACATGTATGTATGGTACTATGTAGATAAGATACGATCAACTAAGACATGCATGCCCTACGCCAGTACAATAATATAACTTTGAATAGTGGGAATTATTTCTCTTTCGCAAGGCTGTCTCAATTCTTATTACGAGAGTACTGCGTTCCCTTTGCCGCCGGGTCTGCCTGCCTCAACCACGGCGCAGTTCATTGGTCTACAATCCATACAATCCAATTACGCAATGAGGCGTTGAGTTTGAGTTGCGTTGGGAGGTTGCGACTGTGCCTTGCCTTGTACCGCACTTCCATGACTTTGACTTACCTCGCCTGCAAGCCTGAACCTTATTAGGAGCGCGGCCTCGTTGCACTGCTCCGTTGCAGTCACCCATCATCCACTCCCATTCCTTCTCCCCTTCTTATTCTCTTCCCCCCTCTATTTCTTTTCTTCTCATCTTCATCTTTTTTTTATAATCTGCCTTCCGTACACGGTATCGAAGACGGAAAGTTACCTAGGTAATTTACAGGGCATTTATGTCCCTACCAATAGGCAGACGGCTTTAAAACATGCCTGTTCCCGTTATGGCTAAGGGTAAGTGAAACAAGAAGTCATTTGTCGTTTGATGTACTTGGCTACCCCACGTCCAAGGACCAAAGTAGGTCGTTGCGGATCGCAAACGTGACTGCCTGCTGATGGCTCGAGTCCTAATTGACTGTGGCGAATAACGCGTACAAATCAGGAACCAACGAACCACGCAAGCTTGTTTCTCTATTTCTCTCAGCCTTTACAATTCTATTTGATCTTGTAGATTAGGCATCGTCATTAATTTCGGTTTTATTCCACCAATACCCTTTCCTAATAGCTTCAATAGCTTTACACAAATATCTTGTCTCGTATCATATTTCCCCTCCTTCTCTTTAGTCATCTTCTTTCTTTCTCTTGGGACATTTGCAATATGCCACCTATTAACCATGCTGCCGTATCAGTCGGCGTTGTCGCCCTTACGGTTGCCGTCGCAGCTGCTGTAGCAGTCTACGAGTCACCTGAACTGCAGCGCATGGCAAGCGACCTCCGACGTCGAATTGCCATCGCACTCCACGCTCTCGGCGATAGTATTACACCCGCAGAACGAGAAAACCTTTTCAACAGGCCCGAGGATGCCGAAGGATTTTTACGATCTCGAGGTTTTGGTGCCGAAGGAGAACCGGGTGTTGATGCTGACGATGAAACCCGTCGAAGACAACGAGAAGAGATAATGTACTGGAATGCCGTGCGCGAGGAAAAGAAAGAAAAGGAACGCAGAGACCCAGAGAAAACAGACGCTTCGCGCCGGCGGCCTTCGACGAGAGGTTCGAGTTTCGATGACTTCATGCAGCAGGATAACGCCGCCGAGAAGGGTGCCTTTGTTTTTCAATCGGGATCAGAGCCTCAAAATACCGATGGTCTACTTCGCCGACGTGGAGAAGGGGCTCGAGGTCTCGCCCAGTCTGTCTATACGAATCCTTTTACTGATGAGCACGGAATCGACGAACACATTGCTTTCGAGAACAGCTTAGTAGATCCCGAAAAAGATGAAATGGAGTCGGATATTTACAGCGCTAGCACACAATTGGGCGTCAAGAGCGAAACTTCAGAACTTGCTATTCTATCACCAACTCCTACTGACGTTATCCCGCCGTTAATCAGCATTGAGAACCAGACGCCGGCTACGCAAGCACAACCTGCCCAAACATCCGAACGAGAATTAGGCCCTGACGAATTCATGACTGCTGGACAAGATGACAGAAACGATGCGTATAGTTCCATCCAGGCGTGGGCTCACGACGCTTCAACCGCTAGCTTCTATTCGCCACTACCAGTATCACCCGCTGCGCCTCTGTCGGATGCTGAGTTCTTGAGCGAAGGTGTTTTGACCCCAACAGACTCCGCTTCGCTAGCAGGCTCAGGTGAGGATGTTGGAGACGATGCTGTATCTGCCAGATCATGGACTGAGGGCCGACATTACGATGTTATGAGTGATGACGAGGGCATGATGACTCCTGCAAGCTGGACTGAAGTCGGAAGCGTTGTAAGCGAAAGTGACGCTGGCGTAGCGCATGCAGCACAGCACTAAGGACATATCTTTCGTCTATTGTTTCGCATATTCTCATGGCATGGCGTATTTAGGTAAGGGATTCGGACATTCAAAGGGTAATGGATTCAATATGGAGAGATGGATTAGGCATCCTCGATTATCGAGCTTTGATTTGTTTTGATGATAGAAAGTTTGGGTTCTAAGATGTAGTATTGCGCACTAAATGGGTATCTACGGCTCGTCTCAGATAAAATGAAAAAAGCATCCCGCCAACTCTTACGCTCAGTCTCTAACCTAGGGCATTCTAGTCATCTTTCTATCGGCATTCTCTACCCTTACAACCCTCGTGATATTTAGTGGTTGCCAGACTTTCTTAATCCTTCTACTCGCCCTTTAGTAATGTCTTCTTATAATCCTCAAACAACTGCTCTACCGGTCCCCCAACTAGCTCAGTCCAGAACGCCTTCTCTTCGTACCTTTCCTTCCGCAGCTTCTCATTCATCCGGCGTATAGTCCCCTTACCGAACCGGTCTTCGAGGTATTCTAGGAAATATGCCGTGCCCTGGTATCCGACGTCCCATTTCGCGGGGATCTGCTCCCGGCTCCAGTGCGGCGGCGCGAGATCGGATTGCAAGCGCACCCAATCGGCTACGCCTTCAATCAGGCCCCCTGGTGCCCGACCCTGTCCGTTCCACTGATAGCAGTGGACGAGCTCGTGCAGCAGGACACCGTGGATCTCGGCGGTTTGCCGGGACGACGGGGAGATGGAGGAGATGTACCGGAGCGAGAAGTGGATTTCTTTGTGGTCCGGGTCCAAGTCCGAACCGGTTGTGTAGGCTACGCCGTCCATGTCTCGTAGGATGAGGGTTACGGAGCGCGTTGGCGGAGGCGAAGAAGGGGATTGGGAGTACAGCTGCTTGTGGATGGAGTCGATGCTGCTGCGTAACACGGTGGCGGCGTTCACGGAGGAGAGGAATATCGAGGAACCCTGGTGTGCGATGTCTTGGACATGTAGACGTAGGCGCGGGAGCTCGATGGCGGAAGAAGAGACGTCCTGGTTCTTGTCGTCCGTTGTCTCGTCGCCCTTTGGTCGCGTGGGAATGGCGGACGGCGCCGGAGCCGGGGCCGGGGCCGGAGATTCCGCGGCGTGAGACATACCGGGCATAAAGACGGGTTGGGGTACCGGCGTGGTTGCTGGAGGGAGGGACATAGACAGAGGAGGGCTGGTTTCCTCTTTGTATTGTGTGATTTTAAGATGGATATGGAGGGTTTCGGTTCCGGAGAGGTTATTGGCTGCGTTGAAGGAACTCATAGGGTAGGAAATAGGATTATAGTATAGCTATAGGTATTTATAGTAGGTAATATAGGGTAATATAGAGGAGTGGCAGTTACCCAAGTCTATAACTAATGGGGTATTGCGATGAAGGAATATAGGAATATGTGGCTCAAGTCAAACTTAGGGGTAGTTGCTGCTGCATTTAATAGGGGGTGTTACTATCTTGGGTAGGTACCTAAGCTAATGAAGCTTTAAAAAGGATTTGTTACTGGTTGCTTGTAGTATATGTATATTGTATGTATAATGTATAATAGAGAATGCAGCTTAACGCTATAGAAAAGGCTTATACAAACAATTGGGTATCTTGTAAGCAAGCTAAGACGTAGATCTTTTTAGGAACGACAATATGATGGATGTTTACTTGGCAGTTGGCCAGCTTCAGCTTTAGCTTCGTCGTGCCCCTCATCGGTTTTCTTGGCGGGGCAATTTGCTATTTGCTAAAATTGAGCTGCATTGGGGTTCTTAATCCTTCCATGAGGGACCCTTAGCCCCTGCCTCTGGGGTGTCACAGACCTATTTCTTGCCTATCATGTCGCTACATGGATAGGAGGGATCAGTTAGTGCCCATCAAAGTGTTTTAGTGCTGTGCATGCCCCACAAAAGCACTCACAGATGTGGGTACCCCCGAATGCCGTTGTCGTGGTGCAGAAAGTGGCCATTTCCCGCATCAACAACTACAACAAATTATGACAACAATACACATGAGAGAAAAATAACGAGTAGTTTCTCAGAAATTGTTGCTGTTATCACCTTTTCCCATCTAAGAGTCTCAGCTTCGTCCACATGCGCATTGGTAGAAAGCGACAAATACAATCCCAGGTGCCTTTTAATTATTGAATTAGCTCTGGAACAACCGTCGCAAACTTTTGTTATTTAAACCAATTCAAATTTCTGAAACTGAGTCAGTCCATACCACTACTACATCACCGTTCGTTTAACTACCGAGGCCCCTATCTGCCAGTTCTGCCCAACCGCGATAGCTCTGTAACCCAACTTGGTCGTATCCTGCTTTTCACGTCCATTGTACGAGCACGACTACATAAATCCGTCCTTATTTTGGGACCTGCAACGCACTGCCAGATCCTCATTCCCCCCGAGGACCATGGCCGAAATGCTCACTGAAGATCAGGTCGCCGGCCTGCTGACTATCCTTAGAAAGGACGTCTCCGTCGACACGAAAGTTCAACACATCACTGCCGTCAAATCTGCAATCAAGCATTACAGCGTACCCGATGTCTGCGTCGCGCCGCTCTTCGAAGCCCTTCGGCTCGCCTCGAGCTCGCAGCACTCGGTCCTCGTCAATGCTGGCTTCACTACGTTAAACCACCTCCTGACGCGCATGTCGCTACAGGAACCCAAGTACCTTGCCAAAGAAGCAAAACACACGCTACCGCTCATCGTCGAGAAGATGGGCGATCAAAAGGATAAGATAAGGGGACTAGGTATACAAGCTATGGCCACCATGTATAACAATGTACCGATAGACGCCGAGAGATTCGTGCGCAATACTGCTATGGTTGGAAAAAACCCAAGGTCAAAGGAATCGAGCTTGCAATGGCTACTACAGGTATGCGCAATCCTCTACCAGTAACGTGATTACAGAGACATGTTACCAGGCCAGTCGCTAACGTGACGCAGATGCACAAGGACCAGGGCTTACAATTCCGTGCTTACGTACCAGCTTTGATGGAGCTACTAGAGGACGCCGACGGCATGGTTCGAGATGCGACTAAGAGCACTGTGATAGAATTGTTCAGGTTCATAAAATTACATTCCCTATATAAGAAACATGGCCTCTAACATCAACTATAGGGACGCGCCCAATGGAGCGAAGACCGATCTAAAGAAGCAGCTAAAGATCTTCAAAGTGCGACCTGCTATAGAGCAGGCTATAGTAAAGGAATTAGCCCCGACGTCTTCAAGAACAGACCCCGAATCGAGACCCGCGTCGGCAATGCAGGTGCGACCAAATCTCGCAGCGAGCGTTTCCTCCCTTGCTAGCGAACGACCAATAACACCAATGCCTGAACCTAAGGCGGAGTCGGTCGAACCCTCATACGTCAACACCAACCGAGAATTGGAAGATCTATTTAGAGATATGCATCCGTGGTTTGAAGGCAAGGAGACCGAACAGAACTGGTTGAAGAGAGAAGAGAGCATGACTAAGTTACGGAGACTCATTGCTGGCAACGTACCGTCGGATTTCCCCGATACCTTTGTTGCCGGTTGTCGAGCGTTACTCGATGGCATCCTCAAGGCCTCCAATTCTTTACGAACAAGTTTGTCTAAAGAGGCCTGCGCCTTCGTCCAAGAGCTTGCCAATACCTTTGGGCCGGCAATCGACCCAATGGTTGAATTGCTGATGCAGACTTTTATAAAATTGTGTGCGGCGACCAAGAAGATAAGTTCCCAATTAGCTAATACATCGGTGGATATCATCATCGGAAGGACTACGTATAATGCTAGGATCATGCAACACATATGGGGTGCTTGTCAGGATAAGAATGTGTCGCCGAGGATGTACGCTACCGGCTGGTTAAAGACTCTGTTGAAGAAAGAGGCACATCACAAGAATCATCTGGAGCATGGCGGAGGATTAGACATGATCGAAAAGTGCATCAAGAAGGGTCTTAACGATCCCAATCCCGGTGTCCGCGAGAAGATGCGCTCGACGTACTGGGCGTACGCCGCGATATGGCCAGCGAGGGCAGAAGCGTAAGTTGATTGATATTTCTATTTTCCTGGTATGCTGGCTGATTGTTGCAAAGAATCATGGACGGTCTTGAGTCTACCGCCCAGAAATTATTACAGAAGGATCCTAACAATCCAAATTCGCCAAAGAAATCCGAGCCTGCCCCTCGTCCGGGGCTAGGCCTTTCGAAGAGTACTATGACGTCCTCGAAGCCCTCCTTAAGAGATGCCATGCTAGCACAGAAGAGGGCCCTAACATCGAAGAATTTACCTTCTCGACCGGCGTCGGCGATGGCGGTCACGCCGGCGCGGAGCGTGTCCGGCGGTTCATCGGGTACGTCAGCAACTTCACATGCGGCCAGCACCAATACCGCGACTCGAACGCGTGCAGATACATCGACGAAGTCTCATGGTGGTATGTCGGTAGCTCCAATGCGACCAGCTAGGAGAAGGCCAGATGTTGCGCCCCGACCCGCTACTGCCGGGCCTTACTCCGTTCGGTCGCATGATGGGCTGTCAAGAGAGCAGACAAGTCCCCCTCACAGCACGAAACAAAAGGCCGTGACCCCGAAAACGATCTCGGGATCTCCTAGAAGGACAGTCCCGAGAACTAGGCCCGGCCATACGGCAACTGCTAGCGAGTCGAGTATTTCAACTCCGTCGAAGGAGGCGGCTCATAAGGCTGTTGCTTCTCCAAAAGCGAGTCCGGCGAAGCCTAGTCCAGTGAAGGCTAAGCCAATAGTCAACGAAATCAGCTATAGCAGTCCCTCCAATTTAAACGAAGATTTCACCCTTGTTGTGCCAGATATGGCGCAGTTGAAAGAGAGCATACGGATACAGTCTACTCCGCCCAACCCCTCTCCTAACGTGCCGGTAATTGAAGCACCGACTGTCGAAGCACCGATAGTCGTTGAAGACGAAGAAGTAACAGTTATTCACAAAGCCGCAACCCCGACTCCAACCCTGACGCCGTCGAAGTCACTAAAAGTATACGAAGATCCTTTTACAGCGGATGACCAGCCGACGCCTCGCCCAGCGGCGAATGGTATAGTTGATCGGCCCGTATTGGAAGATAAGCCTATTAACGAAGATGCTGCTAATCTCATACACCCCACGGAAACGAACGAGGTCCTTGGTAGCCCTATTGCGTCACCTGATAAGACACGTCAAAACTCACGTCTTATTGACAGCGGCATCGCTCGCGTGAAAGCGCAAAACCTTGATGTGCATGGCTTCCGTAAATTACAGAGCCTTGTCCGTGATAACAAAGTGCTCCTCCCCGATGATAAGTTTGACGCCTTGCTACTTGGGCTCTTCGAGTACCTTGAATCAACCCTTGATAATGTTCCTCCTGAGAAGGTTCAAGATGTAAAGGCGCAAATTCTCGCCACCATCAAGTTACTACTGAAAAAGTCTCGCGACAGATTTCAACCCCATGTATCTAGGGGACTGGAGACCTTACTTACCGCACGCACCCGCTACGACGCGCGGACGCACATTGTCAGCGGGCTGGAGCTGCTAGCAGATGAACTAGTGAGGATTGGCGACGAGGGTGAGATCACGGTAACCATGACGCGCAACCTAAGAAACATGGACATGGACACGTCGGGACACCGTAGCCTAAGCATGGGGCTGCACGTGCTGAAGGAGCTCTTGGACGCGCGGTCGTCGTTCACGCCTGGCGAAAATGAAGTTGCGGGCCTGCTCAACCTTGCGACAAGGTGCCTCGAGAGTAAGGAGAGCGGCGTCCGCATGGACGCTGTGCAACTATGTGTAGCGCTACATGCGCGCCTCGGCGAAACTAGGTTCTGGGAAAGCATGAAGAACGTCAAGGACGACCCCAAGAGCCTTATCACGTATTACATTGTCAAGCGACAGAGGGAGAACGGAGGGGTCGCCGCTTAGATGAGCGGCCGCTCCCGGTTTTTCGCTCGAGGGTGCGGTGTCTTTGATTTCTTTCGCGGTCGTGGTCGTTGTTGATAATACCCTGTTTGGCGGTGGAGAAAAGATCTATCTAGGTCGTCTGTGTCTGTGCCTGTCTAACTATGTACCTCTGTGTAGTGTGGTGGTCCGCGTCGGGATGGATGGATGTATATCACTAGGGATAAGGGAGTTTGTTTGGTCCGGCTAGGTAGGTACGCATACTATACCTTGGGTACTTTCTACGACTCCGTTCTGCGAAGCGCTGTTTACGGGGTGACACGCGGCGTTAGCGGGTGGGCGAACGGAAAGGGACGGGTACCTATGCCTATACTTATTACCTATACCCGCTAGGTACTCGAGGGAGGGAGACCTGCCTGCTTATCGTACACATTTTGTAATAAATAGTGCTCGCACTTCGTGGCAAGCTTGTAGATTCAATGGAACGGGGAGTGATATTTACGATTTAATATGGGAGGTTGTGGTTGTAACAGTATCGAATGCTCTTGGTTTTACGTCGAGGACTATAACCTTCAACGAGATTTAATAGTTTTTTACGCCTCCTAATTCTAATAATAGTATTTCCAGTTCAATGACATTCCGAATGCTGGAAGTTCGAGATAACACACATATGAGCCTCGTAGTACCATTTGTTTAGCCAACTGGAGTTTTATTAGCCCATTTCTGGCAGCTCACTCAACTCGCTCCGTCCTTGTCCTTCTTATCTAGGGGACTTCTCTACGAGCTTGTCTAACCCCTGATCTTTGGACATGGCCGCATCCTAAAGATATCATCTATTAGTATCATAGTTATCGCAAGGAGACTTGAGAGAGAGAGATTGTAGGCTTACTACAAGAGACTGGGGAAACCACTTTATGGCCAGCTTGATAGATCCCGCATTAGGACCCTTCCAGACCAGCCCCCCCTTTCCGTCGCCCAGGATATCAGGGGCGACGTGCGCGGCAAACTGGTCTGCCGATATCCCCTTGGGCTTGGACCTGCCGCTCGTCCAGCCGTCGATGATGTCTTGGATGGGGGCGTACAGAGATCCTTCTGGTAGCTGGGCGTCGGCGTCGTTGTCGTGGAAATGCGAGGTTATGATGCCTGCCATGATAGTCACGACGGCGACGCCGAAGGGGGAGAGCTCAAGACGCAGGCACTCGGATAGATTTGTCAGCGCGGCTTTGGATGATGTGTATGCGGCTGTGGGGTGTTAGCGAGTGAGACGTATATATGAGTGAGATATGATATATATATATGTGTATGTGTATATACACGAGTGGGTGTAATAGGCTGGTAGGTAGGTATGTACTTGGACTTACACATCCAAGGCACGTTGAGCGTGACGTTGGATAGGCTTGATAGCTCTTCTGGGATCTTGGACGTGTTGCGGGCTGTTGCGAAGACGCTGTGGCTGCTTTTGGCGAGGTTGAGGGCGATGACGGCGCCGATGCCTCCTGCTGAGCAGCCTGTTACTAAAATGGATTTGGCAGACATGTCTGGCGAACTTGAGGGGGCTGATGGAGATGAGGCTCGCTGGCGTCTTTGGCCCCTTTCAACTGAGGCTATTCAAGACCTAGAGTCTAATGTAAGTCAAAGGGATTGGCAAGATGCGGGTAATTCAAGTATAGTAGAACATCTGAGTTAATTGTAAGGCTCAACCACCAAGGATCCCTGCAGGACAAGTATGTGCCTATGTAGATGAAGCAAGGCTCTAACCTAGGTTACTACATGATATTGAATACATAGTGTAGTTATTTGGCTAGGTTGGAACAAACTCCGCTAAATCCGGCGTTTCTTGCATGGACGGGACGTAAGGGATGGGATGTATCCGCTAGTTCGGTATGAGAGTTACAGTAGAGACAATGAAATTGGGAATTTGTACTTGTTGATAGAGGGTATAGATGACGCTGCCGAGGTAGGATTTATTCTATATTTAGTATGGCACAAACTAAATGCTAGGTCCTTATACGTGGAAGGCGGATGGTTTAGAAAGGGGATTGTGGTCTCTAGTCTCTACTTGGGTGAGAACAGAATTAGAAAATTACATGGCCTGGTACGCAGCAGAGTTCTCCTTTACATTGGCAAAAGCTTGCTGTATCGGCTCTGGCACAGGGTCCAGTCGACAGACGAAGCGAAGCTTATCATGAAGAAGGTAGATGCCTCCTTGTACTCTGGACTTTCATGATCGCCATCTTTGAGTGTACGCTGTACTTCTAGTGGCAACTGGGCAATAGGACGAACAGGTGTGAAATCAGAAGGATAGATATGTATATGAAAAAGAAGAAACTACCATATCCCTCTCCCTAATAGAGAGGCAGGTATGGAGGCAACTATCAAAGTACTGGTATAATATTTTTACTATCAAAGATGCCTCACCTAAGAGCTTATGGAAACACGATAATCTTGCAAATAGAGGGTTCTCACTTCTATCTCTTCCGATGAGCTGTCCGGGACCTGGGATACATGGTATGTATGTATGTTGGTGGCAAAGGCCCAACCTGCAGGGCTATAAGTGAGACTGAACTACCTATCTAACCTAGGTCCTAGGTACCAACAAACAAAAGCTACACCAACAATATCTCCCCATCAGTCTACCGTCTAAGCCTGATCACCAATCCAAGACCTACTCTTCTGCTTGTGGCAGCCCGAAATCTCGACAGTACTGATCCAACTCGGCAACTGCTTTATCAACAGCAACTGCTTTAACCGTTTCATACTTAAGGTCCAACTTGGTGATTCCGACATCGTCATGTGCGTCTACATTACCGTCCCAGTCGAAACGCAGAAGCGCCACGGCGTCGTCGGCTTCGAAGCAGGGCTTGTCGGCTACAATGACCATCTGTCTGTGAGTCTCTGGGTGCGACTTGCAGAACCATGGAAATAGGCGTATGACTTCGGATAACCCGCCGGCAGTAGAGTAGTTCCCGCCAAGGATCACGCGCCTGTGTTCTACGGGCGTGCTATAATAATTGGGCTGGAGCTTTTCTGGAAGGTCTAGTGCTGTAGTTTTCGTTAGTTAAAACTGTTACGTTGGTATGTTCCTCATCTCGAACTGCTGGTGGGAAATTTACCGTTCTCGACTAGACTGAAGCAAGCGTATTGGAACCGGGGCGGCGTAGTCCCCAGCTGCTTAGGCTGGTTCGACTCCGGCGTCCATGACATGGCTTTGTCTCCCCATTCCTCTGCTTCTTCCTCCTTGAGGTCCTCCCAAGCCATGTTACCAATGTCTAGGTTCAAGCCCCAGCCCGCGGCCCAATCTGCGCTACACCGGGCCTTGTCAACGCGGTCTTCCTCCCCGTCTTGGCCCGTGTGCAGGTGCACGACCAGTACGCCATTTTCCTTGTAATCAGCATCAATGGCTACGATGAAGTAAAGGGGGTGGATTGAGTGATCCTGGTCGCGGAGCTGGAGGTGGTAATCGTAGATGTCACGAAGTGGGCGATTGGCGAAGTCGTATTTGGGAGCCAGTTTACAAGTCCCGGGCTCGATCACTTCGGCTGCATTTAGTCGGCTCACTAAATCGTCTAGAATTCCCAAGTCAAGGGGGAGAATTGAGTAGACAGCTTGTACATAGCTTTCTCCCGCAGTAGCACGATGTCGGTTGCTATTTGGGGCCGTCTTTGGTAACGAGAGATCTTGATTGAGAGCCATACTAGCTATTTCTGCACTAGGAATGTCAAATACGATATGGGTGTGGTTAGGAGCTGAACTAATTAAGTCGTTGACATTGAAGCATTGAAAGTTGATGATGCGATGTTAAGCTCTGGCTTAACTTGGTCGTTGCAATACACCAACAATAAACCCCGTGGGGTTTCTTTATAAATTTGGTTCTAAAACATAAATCTAGATAGACTCATACATGTTACCTATGAGCTTCCATGTGCTACGTTACTCGCCATAGAATTGGGCCATGTATTACCTTGTTCCTGGAAAGGTACCTATTTACTATACCAACTATCGCCGTGATAAAGTACCTAAAAGGATACACATAAACCAGGGCTATAGGTCATTAAGCTTAACATAACGCAGATATTCAAGCCTATACGTCATATTTATGTCTTAATCTACGCTTTGTAAATGAGATTTCAAGTTTCACTACATAGTTTCCAGGTGAAAGTTAGACTTTGAAGTATTACAACGTATGATCCGCCGCAGAATACAGCAGTGGCAACAATAGGCCAACACAAAATATGTGCAACTATGATCGGTGAAGATAGCTTGTGGATCGAGGAATAGTGTAATGAATATTAGTGTGCAACTCCGACTTAAAGTCTAGAATATCCTTGATTTTCAAGGAGGTTTATGATATAAGTGAAAGCTTAGAAGTGTACGCCTCGGTCAAACATTGCACACAGAGCTCATACGAGACATGAGGAAAGTCACTCATCTGAATTAATCTCTAGGATACCGTTATACAATATGATCCTTCGTATTTGTAAACAATTGAACCGGCTTGTCCGCCTCAAGTCTCTAAATCCAAGATACCTACCTAGGTAGGTAAGTTATTATATTACCGATTTTCCTTTCTATAGCTTTGGGTGAGCGAGAAGCTCAGCATACACAAACCATTATTCAGTAGTAGTAACACTCCTTAAATAGTACAAGAGTATCTATGCCTAAAACTTATCTACCTATAGGTACATCCCGTCTGCCTCATGAAATAACTACCTAGCGTAAGAATCATACGAGCCTGTTGGCCACTATACTTCCAAGAGTGAAGATCCTCGATGATCCATTGAGACGTGACTGAAGTGACTTAATGGGATCTAAGACAATATCGTTAAAACCCTGTTATTGCCCTTCATCCCCATTCCTTGTATACCCCAGCTGAGCGGTCAACGAGCGACGGATCTATATTTATCGTTAAGCCCGTAGTAAACCGAATGATAGAGCTATGAATATGAGTGTCTGATAATAATATAAAAGATGTCTAGATGGACCAAGACTGAACAAGTGAAAACAAGCATCGGCAGGCCAGACATAGTCCTCTTTACCTCCCCGCCCCTTTTAATATCATAAACTCCAGATAAAATGCGCTCTACAATCGTGCTTGGCCTTATGGTCATATTATCCCGTGCCACGCCTCCTATGACATTTGACTGCACCGACGATATGCAAGGTACGTGGAAACCAGTCCAGAAGCCAAGTAGCTTGATAGAGTCCATATATTGCCGTCCTATCATGTTTGTAGACTTATATATTAATACTTTATTCTAACGATAATCACAGACGTCTGTGATAATATGTGTTGGGGAGCATATTGCACACATCCGGCCTTTGGCAGCACGCTGGAATACGACAATTATGGTGGCACCGGTTCTCGTGAGGGTAGCATTGGAAAGCATCGCACTAACTCAGCCGGGTGCACGCCTAGGCCTAACAGATGCAGCGTATGTCGAGATAATCATTCAAAATAATACCGAGTTGCTTATACTAACTATATATATATATGACAGTCCGTACCTGGGAAGAATTGTGACGAATACCCCTTTGCGAGCACAAGCGATGCAGACAAGGGCGGCCAAGTCACTAAATGCGTTGTTAGCGGCTACAACTCTCGTAAGTAACCACCAGAAACCGAACATCAACTTGGCTAGGAGGGCTCACGTTCATACCTACTGCTCTAGGGCAAGGCTCCATCATCAGCCAGTACGTTTCAGCCAACTGCAACAAACAGAAATGCAGCATCATAGTAGGATTCGGAAACCCGGACACCCAAGGCGTAAAGTACTGCGAGGCCTATAGAGATCCTTACATCAAGTGCATCCCCGACGGAACCATCTGGAAGAACGGCAAGGCGGATGTGCGTCCACCCAAGCCCGCTTCGGGGCGTAGCCTTGGCAATAATACAACAATGCCCTTGCCCGGAGGCCTGTATCTGATGAAGTCTGGGATGAAGGTCGTTTTTGGTAAGTACAGGTAGCAACTCATTCCGGCGCCTTGAAACGACTACTTGCTAATGAGCCTCGATGTATAGGGGAGAATTTGGACGTCGGCACTAAGACGAAGCGCGCGGCGCCGAGGAATGCAACGTTTGCGCGGAGAGCGCTGGTTGGTCTTGAGGATGAAGATGACGTCCGTTGGGACTTTCACGATGACGAGATTGTAGCTCGTCTTGAGTGAAATAAAGAGGTAGGTAATTGGTATAGATGTTTTGGAGTGGGAGTGATCAATAAAGATTCTCCTTTTTCTTATTTTATATAAAAATAGCATGGATCGAGATACACACACAACTCACTATTTCGTACCATCAAATCCAGGGGCTACTAACAATATAACTTATATGAACGCCCCGATCAAAATCATATGTAGGTCAAAATATGTTAGGGCAGCTATGAAGTACATCGTTCTGCTCCCTTCCGCCAATTTCCCTTAAATTTCGTCCCCTATCAATAGATACAGGATACAGGTAAGCTGAAAACAAACCACCGAGTCCCTCGTCAGTATTATGTCTTCCAGTACTCGCGGGACTAGACTAATGTTCTTCAGGCGTCTTCTCGTTTTTATCGTGTTTCTTGCGCACGTCTTCGATACCTAACAGTCAGTATCCTGTTGGTATAAAACAATAGGTAGGTACTTATACGCAGCGCTTAGGGGGCTACAATCCATCCGTTCGCCAACATACCATATACTTTGCCTAAGGCGTCCCCCGCCAGAGCATCCTCATTTCTAGCAATAGCAGCATCAAACCGAGCCCGGAATTCAGAGGGCTGTTCGGCTTGGCTCAATGTAGAGGCTGGTGGCTGTCTGGGAGCAGATTCATCACTCCTGGAATAGCACGATATAGTCTCGAATTGCTTAACTTGTCGAAATTCCTTGCCATAGTATTGCACTAGAATGCTATGCCATAGCTGGTAGTCCTGCTCTAACATTGAGAGTTCGGGTGTATTGGCACTCTGTTTGGGAGGTTGTGTTTCCTTCTCTTGTTTGGTGGGTGATGGTGATCTCATGATGCTTGAGCTTTGGTGATGTGTAGTAAGGTATAGGCTAGGATGTGTAAGTAGGTGAACGCGTGTGTTTGTTTGTGGTTCCTAGAATTGTTTACCATGATCTTCTCTTCTTATATATTGTATCATTACCTTTGATATCAGATACGGTGCGGAAATGTGTTTTGTGTTCATCTTTCCCCTTCTTCTTTTCCTATTACCACTTCCATGGAACATCTCGTAGGAAATGGCTTACTTTTCTTGAAAACTTTCCTTTATTTGTCTCTTTTGCCTAAGTTAATTTTATATTGACTTCCCCTTCCTCTTGCATAAATGGCTTCTTTAAGGTTAGTGCCTGGTTCAGATATTATGTAGTTAGACTTCAAGGTAAAGCAATCATCGCTATTGGGCTATGGTGTAGGAATTGGTTGTAGGTTGGATGTCAAGAGGGATGTAAGTAACTTGGTTATTGTGCAAGAGGCCCAAATTAAGTTATGGAAGCCTTTGGCTAGACATTCTGAAAGTATCCTTTGCTCTATATGTCTCATTTGGAATCTTAATATCAAGCCTTAATGCCAACAAGGGAATCCAATGATTATGCAGACAATATCACAAGTTATAAGCATCACAATTTACCGAAATTCTCACAAAATCGTGGGTTATATTGTCAAGAGGCGAATCGGCAATCTAAAAGAACAAACGTGTGTCTTCGTCTCTGTCCCTACTGGCCTAGGTGCCAAGACAAGACAAGACCACATGCAAAGCAAAAAGCAAAAAGCAAACCAACCCTTAACACCTGGCTATGATCGCAGATACGTACATCGCGTCCTCATCTGAACATGAGGGAGAGGGGGTATTTTTTTCCAGTCTAGAAAAACGATATTGAAAATCCCTTTGCCTTTTTTTTTCCATGCATGCAAAAAGTCTTGTACGAGAATGCCGAAATTTCGCGAAACGCCAATTCCAGAGTGGGCTACCTAAGTACCATCCGTGTCGTGAGACGTGCCGTTTTTTCCTTCAGAAAAGAAGACAAATGAGACCTCTTGGAGGTTCTTTTCCCCTTTATCTATTTGTTCATCCCATTCACATTTGAATTGGTGAAGATGGAAGTGCTGAGAACTTTGCGGGAGGTATATGTGTGAAGACACAGCCTACACAGCGCACACAGCGCGCATAGTGTCGGCAAGTTGTATTAGTCGTGCAGTCGTACAATCGTATATACTGCATGAATCTATATTCATGAATCGTGATGACTTGTTTCCTATTTTCCTTTCATCAAATCCTGGATATCCGAAACGTGCGTATGAAAGTCGTTAGATGCCTATAGGCAACTGAGAAGTTTGTACAAGAATTGTGTGAAATGCAATGTGTCCTATAACAGAGAGTAGTACGTAGGACTAGGAGAGGCTCTTGTTGAGCAGGAGAGGCGCACAGAATAAGAACTCGAGAGATCGTGAATCTGTCGGCTGGAAGTTGTTCTGATCGCGACGCGCTTCCAAGTAAGCAGTGGTGACATTGAGATTGTGGAAGTAGTTCTGTACGGTTGGGTCGTCCTCATTGGCTACAATGGGCGACTCAGGGCTCATGGCCATGGTCTTCGGAAGAATATGTCGGATGACTAGCAGCATTCTAAGCAGCTCAGTCAACTCCTGTCCCTGGTTCGTGAAGCTGCTGGGTGGCTTCTCCAACGGCCACTTAGGACGAAGGTTCTCCTCATCCCACGCCTTAAACGCCCAGGTAGTCTTCTCCATGCAGTTGAGGAAGAGCATGACAGTCAGGAACATGGGAAAGCCAAGTCTAGCCTTACCGTCCTGCAAATGCTTCTGGATACCATTCAGTAGGACTTTGCTAGCGGCGGATGCCTTTCGCTCAGCAGCCGCAGTGAGCTGCATGCAAATATTGGTATAAGCTTCGCAATCAGAATCGTCCTTGATCAAATAGTCCTTGACATTCTCGTCAGAAGACTTTGCCAACATTGTCCATTGCCGCTCTCGGTCCATCATCTCAACAATCCCCCATAGTTCTAGAGATCGCTTGAGCAGTTCGTCATTAGTACTGCTTGCGACCATGATAGCCACATCCAAGGTGACTCGTACATAATGAGACGGCTCACGGCGGATGAACTCATTAAGAGTTTCACGCATATAGGTCTCAACCTTTCCCGGAATATCTTCGTTGTTGTCGAGCAATATCACCGGGCCAGGGCTACCGTTGCAGGGAAATCCGTTGTCCTTCTCCTTGGGAGTTCCCCGTAAAACTTGGAAGATGGCCTTGTGACCAGTCTCTGGGAAGTGTGACACTTCCAGAGTTATGCCTGCGTTTTGCAAACTGTGGCTAGACTTGTAGCCGTTGATTCTTTTTTGGGTCATCACGACCTGTACTCCTGCCGAGTACAGGTTGATGTACTCTGAGAGCTTTGTTCGAACGCATCCGGTGCGCCAAATTCGAGGTGCAAGCACTTTCTTACAGGCAATACACGGTGTACCCTTAGAGCACGTCTTGCGTAGAATGCGACAGCGAATGCATGCTCCAATGCGTCGAATCTCCTGAACCTCCTTCCGTCGACCAGAGTCGAACCGCGCCCGGCTATGACGTTGACGGGCTCCATTGGGACTATCGCTTGTATCCATGCGACAGCCACCCCTATTTAGAGGTACTGCCAAGTGTTGACCGTGATCATTGACTGTTGCAGGAGCGTGAATATCCTCAGACATATACGTCATGCCGTCCCAAGGAGTGGCAGATTCATTCGTGTTCGGCGGTGCGTGCTGTCTCTCAGGCGAAGGGGGGTAGTCAATCAGCATCTCAGTAGACTGGGTGTGGGTAGGTGTTCCGGGAATGGTTTCGTCGGTCAGGAGCTGTGGGTCTAACAAAGACGGATTGAGACGAGCAGTTGCTGCTACGGCTACCGACAACGCGGAATGAGTAGGTGACAGAGCTCTCGCTTCGAATGCTAGTCTCAGTCTCTCCTCTGCGGTCATGGGCTTATGCGACACACCTATATCTAAAGAAATTATTTGTTAACATACATCATTATTGCTATAACTCGACTTGAGATCATACCCTTAATATCTCGGTGTGAATGGTTGTCCAGGTTGGTCGGCGGGTTCTCCAATGTGAACTGCTCATGGGGCTCGAAAGAATTGGCAGTAGCTGCGATAGGCACAACAGCAGCAGCCAATGTTGTTTGAACAGCTTCAGCTGTAGGATCTTGCGGAGTCGGCACATGATCGTCATGTTTCTCATTGGCCTCGATCTGACGAGAGACTTCAGCAAGCGTTTCTAGGGGTGTCCAGATCTGATTCTGAGATTGCTCGAGAGAGGTCACAGGTGAAGAGCCGTGGAGATGGCCGGGAAAGGGGCCATGGTTAGGACCGGTGTGCAAAAGACCTTCAAATCTTGGTCTGTTTGAGCTATTGCTGATACCGTGTAGGGTAAGACATGCGTGAGCTCTGTCGGCTTCAGGGATTGCCGGGCATTTTTTCGTTAGATGGTTCGTAAGGCTGTCAATGCGACCTTTAGGGAAATCCTCGCCGCAAGCTTTACAGGTATGATGATACCGATTACTGTTGTCATTCAATTTGGCGCCGCGCTCGAAGAATTCGAGGATTATAGGATTGGGCTTGCGGCCCATCTTGTCGGATTGACAATGTCGTCACTCAAGGTTCGAGTAGATGGCAGAATCGTGCGGTGAGTCCAAAAAGATTTGATTATGGAAAATCGATCGGCCCGACGGATTGAAAATAGGAATTCCGGGAGGATGAATAGATGGTGGGGAGCTTTAATTGATGGGACGGTAAGGGATGTTCCCAGTTCGTCTCAGCTCACCGCCCCACTTAGGCAGGTACATAAGGTCTAAGGTTGGAATCAAACGGCAAGTGCTGTGGGGTTGCAAAGAAGGTACGATACACATTGATATACATCGGAAAGTATTATGTTAGGTAGATTGGGAAGTTTGGGAAGTTACCCCGCCGTTGCACCTGAACATTGAACATGAACATACAAATTGTGCAGGCGCTGGAAATACATGTAGATATCTGAGGTAGTTGCTTAACTAAGAGTTGCTATGTAAAAGCAGGTACTTTCTGCTCTTGGGGGCGCTCCTAGTGTACATACATATGTACATATTGTGAAGTAAGTGGGCCCCTATTATCTCTGTATGAAGAGAGTTTAAGCATTATATAAGAGATATCCTAATACATAGCGCTATGTAACAACAATTAAACCTAAACTCACTCAACAGCTCAAAATATGTCAATGGCACAATGCAAATTCCCATAAATACATCAGTCGAGTTGACTATAGTTAATAATTGACTATAGTTAACAAGTCTCGTCCCGCGCTTAACATATATTTCATAACAACTTTACAATTCTATAAGCTAACATTCAGGATATCAGCTTGTGCAGACTCTACCCACCTGGTCGATATAGTCACCTTGATTGGTAGATTATTGTTATTATATTACTAGCCGACAAGAGCCTCTCCGCGTATAGCAAGCTACTGCACCACATTCAATGCAATACTACCATATTAAATTGCAAGGATGCCTACCACTTTTAGATTTACATTAAGGGACTAGAGGGTTGAACAACACGATCCTTCGGGTGATGAGACCAGACGAGAACAAGGTGTCAAACAAATCATTCAGATTACAAGGTCAACGGAAATCGGAGACTAGCATAGGCTTCTGCTATTTTCTAACCTAACGAGAGTTGGGACGAAGAGGTGTGTATGATCGGTACTAAAGAGATAACAAGACACTCAGCATTTGATATTCAAGTCTATGCTAAAAAAAAAAAAAAAAAAAAAAGGTCATCTTCAAGACGTTATAACTACTAACCTAACCTAGTTACTTAGCGCATCGATTCCAAGGTCCTCAACACGTCGTCTAGAAGAACAAGCCTATTGATAGTGTAGACTACCAAGTACAACATGTTCTGTATCGAAATAGCAGCCCTACGCTCAGGTGCCAAGCTTATTTCAGCAGCAAGGTTTTCTACAGGTGGCAAGGTTGCGATCTTCGCTGCGCCTCGTCAAAGCTGCTCCACCCCTTTCATAATAATACCTAATACAAACGAAACGAAGCTGATGCAAAGTTCTCCGTAAACCCGGTTCAACATTATAGCTGCAGCAACTATCTCCTACTCAGCAGAAATGTGCAGTCTAGTCAAACTAATCAAGCCTAGTCCGCCAGGATTCCAGGAACCGTGGCTTGGTTGCCCCGTTCCATAAGTCCAAAATTAGGTAGCTCCTAGGATCTATGTCATCAGGAGCCATAATAGGAACGTTACGCTGTTTAGGTAGCTGCTTTACTATTCGTTCATTCTATTCGTACTCTTTGTGCGGAGTACTATACATTCTTTACAGTCTCTCTCTCGAATTACTGGTGTAGTTCTTAGTTCTACCCAGGGACTTACTCTAGCATGTTGGCTTCCTGATGTTACGATATTTATTCGTATCGATATTGGACTTTGTCGACCAATTTCAACGTCCAGGTCACCCCGACAAGATGCGTGTTTCCGCGGGCATGGCGTTGGGCCTAACACTTGCTCAAGCTAAAGAATTTCAAGTTCGAGAACTGAGTCAGTTTGTATTACCATTTGTACGTTAACCCGAATCAGTACACACTCGGAGCGTGTTCCCGAACTAACAATTCCGACTAAAGACCGGCTCCGTGAATGGAGGCAACACTTTTCCCGGCGTTAGCTTACCATTCGGGATGGTAAAGCTAGGCCCCGACCTATATACCGGATCCGACAGCTATTCGGGATACCAGTCCAATGGAAATTTCACCGGCTTTAGTTTATTGCACGAGAGCGGCACGGGTGGTGCACCTAAATACGGAGTTGTTAGCCAGTTACCCGTTGTGGGCTCAATTGACAACCCATTGACCGACCAGGGCATTAGCCGAAGCAAGGCAGATGATGCGAGACTCGGCTACTATAAATCAAGCTTGTCAAATGGCGTTACCGTGGAACTAGGAGCTACTGGCAAAGCCGGCCTGTTCCAATACCAATTCCCGGACAACGCAGACGGTATAAATGTTATTGTCGATGTTTCTCATGTTCTTCCATCTTTCAGAGGTCAAGGTTTAGGTCAAAACTATCTGGGCGGCAACATTTCGGTGTCCAAGACAGATGACGGCGTTCGTTACCAAGGATCTGGTTCTTATGATAATGTATGTTTATCGAAGCCAATAAGAAGACACCGATTTAAGTTAACTTTACGTAGGGTTGGAACCGCGCCCCGAAGTGGACTGTTCATTTCTGCGGCTATTTCGATCAGTCAGCAACTTTCAAGACCTTCTTGGGTAAGGACTCAACAAGTGACGAGCTGGTAGACTACGGCGATGCTTCCGAGCAAGACTCCGATGCCCGATTAGGCGCCATCTTCACCTTTGACAGCATAAATATCACCTCAAGGGTAGGAGTGTCGTTTATTTCACCTGAACAAGCTTGTGAAAATGTCAATAGAGAGATTCCTGTTGGCACATCTCGAGAAACTTTGGAACATGACGTTAAGGCAGCTTGGAACAGCCAAATTTTATCCAAGGTCACCACAACAGATGTCTCTAACACAACCAGACTTCAACTTCTTTACTCGTCTCTATATCACATGTCCATTATTCCCAGCAACAAGACTGGAGAGAATCCTCTCTGGTCGTCAAGCGAGCCTTACTATGATGATATTTTCACGTTCTGGGACACAGTAAGTTGCACTCTCCAGATCGTCGGCATCTAGAATCTAACTGGTCGCAGTTCCGGTGTACAACCTCTCTTTTGCATATCCTGCAGCCTGTGGTATACGAGGAATTCATCCGTTCTCTAGTTGATATATGGAGACATGACGGCTTCTTGCCTGACGCGCGATCCTCATTCTTCAACGGTGCAACTCAAGGAGGCTCAAATGCAGACAATATTTTTGCAGACGCTTACGTAAAGGGAGTTCGTGGTGCTATCAACTGGGACGATGCATTCTCTGCTATGGTCACAGATGCCGAGACGGTGCCACCGAACAACAACGATTCCAGAGACACGACTGCGTCTACCAAGGAAGGACGAGGTGCCCTGCCCGATTGGATAGATCGCGGATACATTACCACAAAATACAAGCGTTCCGTCAGCCGAGCCATCGAATAGTAGGCAATGCCTCAATCCTATGTATTAGTAAGAAATTAGACTAACCACCCACAGTGCCGGAAACGACTTCGGTCTCTACCAAGTAGCCAAGGGCCTAGGAAAAGATGAAGAGGCGCAGAAATACCTTAACCGCTCTCGCAACTGGCGCAACCAATGGAACCCGGACCTAGAAGCATTGGGATTCAAGGGCTTCCTAGGTCCGATCGACGAGGACGGCAACTTCAAGGACCAGGACCCGCTCAGCTGCGGCGGATGCTACTGGGGCGATGACTACTACGAGGCGCTGCCGATCGAGTACTCTTTCAACGCGCACCACGATATCAACAAGCTGGTCGAGCTGTCGGGCGGTAAGGACAATTTCACCGCGCGTCTAGAGAAGTTCTTCGAGGGTGGCGTCAGCTCTGGTAACTCGCAGTTCAACCACACGCTTTTCAACCCGGGTAACGAGCCTAGCTTCACGTCGCCGTACCTGTTTAATTACGTCGGCCGCCAGGATCTCAGCGTCAAGCATAGCCGGTACGTCGCTGATAGCTACTACGCACCGACGCCTGGCGGACTTCCGGGAAACTCGGATGCGGGTGCTATGGAGTCGTGGCTGTTGTGGTCCATTATTGGTCTATACCCCATGACGGGTCAGACTACTTTCCTTATCGGATCTCCGTGGTTCAAAGACCTGATAATCGACCTCGGTGGTGGGAATAAGCTGCAGATTAATACGGAAGGAGGCGACGCTCAGTCTTATTACGTCCAGTCGCTCAAGGTCAATGGCAAGAGCTGGGATAAGGCGTGGATTACGTGGGAGGATGTTTTTGCGAAGGGCGGCACGCTGGACTTTGTACTGGGGTCGGAGCCAGCTGATTGGGCGACTGGAGATGCGCCGCCGAGTCCGGCCACGGAGTCGTAAGGGTAGTTCATGATCAATGTGGGGAGGTTAGAGAGCCGGCAGGCTTAGAGTGTATCTAGCTATAAAACGCGAGAAACTTGATTCTTGTATATAAGGGAAACTGGTGTGCATATGCGCATGTCTATCCATCTATATATACCGGCCAGAGCTTAGAGTTAAATGCTTTGATGTCGTGTTTCAACTACCGAGTCTAGTCTCGTCGCTTGACACTACAGCTTCTCCGAATTGGGTTATGCTTTGTGATAAGTCTGGGTGAGACACTGGTCGGAAGTTAACTATTACGTAGATTTATAGAAGCGCTACCTAGGGTGGACCAGGCTACGGGTTACGGAGAATTGTATAAGTCTCGATCGTCTAAGAAACACGAAGGAGAATAGTCTTAAGGATTCCAGTCGGTGATCCTAGTTTTCTATATACATCGCCGAGAATATTATATTAGGCCATCGCTTTTCTAGCCGTATGTTTTCCTTCCTAGGTATTTTTATAAAATGGGGGGGGGATAATGGTGGCCGGAGTTACTAGTATTCTGGAGACTTTGTATTCTAGTATATTTAGGGGAGTTATTCCATCTCTGCTGCTTGTATCTCGAGGCCTCCAAGGCGATCTTGGAGTTAGGTATGATATCCTCTTGATTAGGGTACCGCTTTCTTTACTAAAGCACTGTCCAGCGTACTGGAGCAGCGGCGGATTGTAGGTAGAGGTACTAGGTCATCATCTAACGGATAGAGTATCTAAGGATGAAGACTAGGGGAATTTGACTGTGCCTGTGCCCTCTTTTTATGGACGTTTTGCAATAGTCCCTACGACAGCATATCAGTCATACGCAAGGTGTAACAAAATAGAAAAGCGTGAAGTACTCCGTTTGCAATATACGATGTGAAAGTCCAGCCGATGAAAGATAGCGCCTACGGCCCCAAAGCTTTTGTTCCTACCCAATTATCTCATAGGAGACATCTCTAGATCACCGTATAGCTCCCCAGTTGGTTTCAGTCTATTATTAAAACTGCGTTATTTTATATATGATAGGACGAAATTGTTCAATCTCGAGGAAGGTCAGCCACGGCCGCCTGGCTACCGGCCGCATCAAAAAAACTGACCTATCATAAATGTATATACCAGTGATTGGCTGTACTCGGATACCTGCAGATCTAGTTGTGTGGAATAAGCTACCAGCCATAGCCGCGGGGGATTCTACAGACGCGATCAATACTTCTTCTCACATCACTTACTACTTACTACAACCAATATACTGCATAAGCTTCAAGCATTAGACACGCGACTAGACGAACTACTACTACCTAGACATAGACAGAATACGATACTACTTCCATATACCCAAGCCAATCCCAATGGACGACGCGTGGACAACCAGAACCCAAAGCGACGCAAGCTCGCTCAGCGGCACAACCGGCGTCTACACGCCCACACACACAACATCATCACCACCCGCCGCCACCTCCCTCCCCGCGCCCTTCTCTACAGACGGGGGCATCGGGTCCGCGCCCGAAGCAGGCGAGACATACATGATCCGGCACGTAGACACGGGAAAAGCCGTGACCCTATCCGGCGGAGAACTAGTCCTACGAACCGACCCCGGTATGAACGGGGGCTGGCGATGGCACTGCAGCGAGACCGAGGACGGGTGGTTGCACTTCCGGGAGACGGTGTCGGGCGTCTACCTAGGACGAGACGGCTGGGGCGGATTTCAGGCGAATAAGCGGAGTCCCAACGGGACGGAGCGATTGCTGATCCGGCCTCGCGAGGCTGGAGGATATAATATCTTCGCGATGGATTGGTGGAAGTTGGGGGCTTTGTGTACTAGGGATACGGACGGCAAGTTGTTTGAGACTAAGGAGGTGGCGAAGGCTTCGCGTTGGGAGTTTGTGCGGGTGTGAGAGTTAGTTGATTGATATTATTGTTTGGCTTCATTAGGAGATCGTATCACTTAGTCTTTCTGCCTTGTTATCTTTAAAGCTAAGCTGTTTCTAGGTCAGGGAATAGGCAGAGAAAGCACTCGACCGGTTAGGATGATAATATCGAAACTCATTTTAATGGTGTAATATGCCCTCTGTATACCTACCGATATAAAAACAGCCGCGTATGAACTCCAGGGTATCTAATAACGGCGCAAAAAAAAAAGGACTATACAAATCACAAACGGTCGCTACCCCAAACATTCCGGAACTCGTCCTCGTTTCCGGGGCTGAATACTGGACTGTTAACATCATGTTCCGCCCCATCATTACCCCATTGGTTGCTTCCTTGCCCTTCAGGAGTTACTTCGTCAGGTGTCGGCTCTCCTACTTTGAACGTCAGATCTTCCTCCTCGGCCTCCTCTGCTAAAATTTGAGGATCAGCCGTTGATAGTATGGGGGCACCGAGAGGGCCCTTCGACTGGAACTCCTCAGCAGCGACAGCAGTTGGTTTCGGGGGAGGCTTAGGCGCATGCTTAGTTTGCTTCTGCTTGCCTTTCTTCTTTTTGCTTATTACAGTTTCGGCACTTGGGGTTGTTGTTGCCGGTGGTCTGTTGCTGAGGCTCTCGGATGAGCGAGATTGGGTTGCATGCCAAGCCCCGGTACGCGATTGGTGCACATCTGGATGCCTCGAGAGCCAACGCTCTCTTGTTGGCACGTTTGCAGTGACGACAGGATACTGAACCGATATAAGTAATGCGTCAATAAACATGAAAATCAAACTTACATTCCAATCTCCAAACTCTAACTCTCGAGCCTTGTTGTAGAGGCTCTCATCATCGGGATCTAGTGTAGATTCGTCGGTAGAGCCGTGATTATACGTCGGCGCTGGATCGCCGGCACCGCTTGGTCCTCCGTTGGAATTCAAGAGTGGTGTATTCGCACTCAATTCTCCTCTAACTTCTCCGGGTTTAGGAATCCAGTATTTTGCCTCGCCTCCCCGCTTATATCTCATCCCATCTTTTAATCTTGCAAATCGGGAGCTCGAATCTTCGTGTGCGATAACTTTTCCAGTAGAATCAAATAGCCTGTAGCTGTATTGGTCCCCGCTAAAAGTTTGCTTGGAATCCTCAATAAGATCAAGAATACCGAAGGCATCTCTCGCCGCATACTTGACGGGTAATCTGGCCGACGAGACTGTGTTGTCGGCGTAATCATGCCAAGAGAAGGCGTACCAATGCGCCACGGCGAACGCGGGCATCTCACAACAGATCAAAGCATCTTGGATGGCGGCTGCTAGATTGTCCGAGGTGTACCCCTGAACATCGTCCGGAATGGCCCCCAGCCAAACAAGGATGGAAAGAAAAAACCCTTGCCAATAGGAAGCGAAGATGATGAGCTTGATGCATAAAAACTTGGGCACAGGTCGGAAGGGTACTAGGTCATTGTGCATACAGACCCAAAACAGTCCAAGCGAATATAGACTGACAGTAACACTGATGTTGTATATGATACCACTCCATAAGTAGCCTGAAGAAAGCCCGATATACCCCTCCTGATATATACCTGTTGCTTTCATGATAATCGCCGCAAGAGCTAGGATGGGCTTAAGCCATGCGTATTGGAGAATTCCTCGCTTTATAGCAAGGAATGTGTGGGGATCGGAAATATCGACTTTTGGGAAGAGGTGGTTTAATGGCCACAAATGATGCACAGGAGCGCGGCCATGTGTCATTATTATAAGGGCTCGTTCGCCATCGAGGTAGTTGATTAGGAGTTGGAAAAAAGTGTAGATGGTGAAAGCCTTTTTACTAGCAAGTTAGACCAGTGTCCAGAGCTTAGGAATCTATAGATAGAGTCGCATTCATACCTCGTATATATCCCTTATAGGATCTAGAAACGCTGCCGCGGTCAAGGACACCATACTAACCCACGAGCTTATCGAATAGATGGGAACCCTGAGAATTATTAGAGGCGCACAATGTTATACTTAAATCATTCTCACATCAATAATATCCGTACGACGTATCGCTGCAAGAGAGGCTTTCGGTAATTCTTTCTGTATACGCGTTTAACTTATTGTACAGTACAACTAGGAATATAGGATGAGCATACAATTGAAGCCATATCGAGCTGTTTTAGTAGCATATCAGCATTACTATATTAACTAAAAGAGAGACCAGCAGACAGTTGGAGCTTACACGATAGACATCAAGGTGGCTGCCAAAGAGAAGACACCAGCAATAACTGTCGTAGCAGTGGTGAACTTCTGGCCGGTACCGCCAGCCATATTGGCGGTTTGAAACCTACGCGTCACCGGAATGTGACACTGTCTACTCAAAGGACAAGAATTTCGAAATTTCGAAATAGCACATGTTCGAAATTCGTGGTGTTGTAAGCGGAGGTTTAATGATGAAAGTGGAGGGTTTGGGGAGCTCTGAGAAATGTCATTTGATTTGAGACTTTCGAAGCATGCATCAATGACCCTAGCACCTTACCTAGGGGGGCCGGGGGGGCTGCCTGGGAGGTACGTACCTCTTCAATTCATTCCATGCAACCCCGTGCTATCATACTAATGTACATAGGTACCTAGCTTAGGTATGCAGCTTGTGTGGATGCATGCCTTATCGATAGATTCGGGTTAAACGGCTTAAGATCAATGGACCTATATGGATCGACTTAAGTACCTATAAAACCTAACCTAACTCATCTGCGGCTATCCTTGTCCATCACGCGTCATGCAGCGAAATCTAGCCCGGGTTTTAATGTTGTACAATAGTACCTCCAATACCTCTAATTACACTACTTCCAGTACATCCATGTACATAACCGAATTCGATCAACCTTTCAACCAATTGACGATATTCGCAACCTCACAACTTGGCTGTCATCGCCCTGTCAAGTACCCGAAAAATATACGCGCCTACGCGCCTCTCTGGGGACGCTACAACTTGTTAAACAATTACAATTACGATATGGGGCTCGATGTCTTCTGAGGTTAGGATAGTGGAGAGAACCTAGGTGTCGCAAATCGTAGGGGGTGCATTGGGGAGTTGGGGAGTTCTGGAGTTGACATGGCTAACACCGTGGGCTGGCGCGACTTTAAAGCGTATGTTTTTACCTGTCTATCTGGAGATGGAGCCTACGTGTAGAGATATCACCTACTAACTAAGCGAAGTCAATTTCTAGCTTATATCATAGTCTGCGGTTTACTGTAAGTTATCTTAAATCGGATGCGATTCCCGCTTATTTTTATACTCAACATGTCTCCAGTGCAATCTTCTTCCTACTATACTTTAATAGAGCCTTTGCCTCCATCGTCTCCTACTTTATCCGCACCTATACTTGGCATCGATACCGCATCTATATCGACATACAAGCGATACAATGGTCACTGCTTGGTGGCCGTATCTTCTTTACAGGCCTTCGATATCATGGAAATAACGAGACTATCTTCATTCAGAATGGACATATTACCTGGTCGTACTGGCTGCGCAGGGTACGCGATGTTGGGCTGGGCGATGGCAAAAAGAATAAGGAGTCCGGAGACAGTAATACGTCGGATACTAGGAAACAAGCGGAACTCCCCTGCCGTGTCAATGTCGTCGTTTCTGGGATCGAGTGGTTCGTTTATAACCGTAGCGCCGCCTACGACTCCATGCTTGAGGCAATGACTGAGTCTCCTCTGTCTAAGCATGATGATATACTGGACCGAACCGAGGGCCTGGCGAGTAGCTCGGCTAGGCCACGGCAGCGGCTTCGTAAGTCTCATGAGAAGACCGAGCATGCCGAAGAAGCTAGGCAAGAATATATTGATGAGAAGGATGGCCTTGAGACCCGCCCCCAGAGGCCCTTCAAATCTACTTCTACCTCCGATGGTAACTTTGAAACGGCAGGTAAGGGAGACTTACCTCAAGTATTGCAGTTACTCCCAATTCATTTCAGATGCGACAAGGCAGCCCTTGTCATGGGAAATGAGAATACTAAGGCCGTTCTTATTATGAAGTCCAAGGGCCTTTCAGGAGAAATTGATGCGAGCGATTGTCAGACTCCAGATCCCTATCGGCAACTTTTCAAGATACATTTTGATAACCCAGTACTTGAGATGAGGGAAAATGACGGGTTCAAGGAAGAGCAACTCGCTAGGGCTGTCAAAGACGAACAAATCGCAAAAGCTACCAGTCCTGTACCCCAAAGACCATTCTTTCGGAGACAACGCCGCAAGGTGGTTGGGCAATTGCGGAATATGGTACCATATTGGCGGAAGTCTGTCGAATCCTTTTCGGCAAATTCTCAAGATGAAGATGGCCCTAATGAAACCCGCATACCAGGCTCAAACCAATGGCAAGGGCTTTCCCGGTATCTCAACGATGACGACGACGACGATAGACTTCGATGGTCGTCGGTCGAGTACGCCAAGGTGAATCCGGTGGTTGACAGTCCTAAGGGGACGTTGACAATACTCTGGGATGTTCCTGGAAAGGTTGCACCACGTGGCACAGTATATTCATCAAAGGGCGAAGATGGTGTATCCGATGATATAAATGGAACTATCGCGCCAGCCTGGGCGATTAGTCTGTCTTTGAGTGGCGGCATAATAAATTATGGGCCGTGGGCAGACAGACAACGAGCTGAACTTCAGAAGGTATTTTTCCCAGGTTTATGCAAGGATGCAACTCCTGCTCAGAGGCTACCATTCGGCGCGGATCGTGTACCTACACGATTTAATTTCTATTTACAATTTGATGAAGAGGTTGTATTACGAGTTCCCACCCGTGAGGATTCCAAGAATTGGAAGTGGAAAAACGAGGCTCTCACGTTGAGGCAGCATCATAAGCAGGGTAACCGACGCGAAAGAGGCAGGGATCGAAAGTCTACCGCAACTACAGCCGCAGAACAACGTCCGATTGGGTGGCTCGACATCAAGGTTGCGGCGAATGCTACAATCTCGTATGATATGGATATGCTAGCTAGGTCGACCGGATATACGAACACTCTAAAAATCGATCTTCCCGCAACTGAAGTCTCGACTAGCGTAAACCATGGGCTCTTGTGGCGATCTGGACGCCTGCAGATTTCCTGTGACCTGTCTACGCCTCTGAAATGGAATGGTCTCCGTACTTGGCGTTTTGACAT